AATAGTTTTTGTGAATTCCTTAGGATTTTCTACAGATAAAATCATATCATCTGTGAATAGAGGTAGTTTTACTCTATCCTTTCCAATCTGAATGATTGTTATTCTCCCTCCTCTCTAATTTCTCTGGCTAGAACTTCCAGCACAATGTGGAGTAGACGTTATTTAATAAAAAGCCATCTTTGTTTTGTTCCTGGACTTAGGGGTAAAGCTTTCAGTCTTTCATCATTCGATATAATGTTAGCTGTGGACTTTCATAGATGCCCTTTAGCATGGGAGAAAATTGCCCCTGACACTAGTTTACTGATTGTTTTCACAAGAACAAGGTATTGGATTTTTTAATGTTTTTATGTGTTTACTGAGATGAACATATGATTTCTCCCCTTCATTTTATAATGTGATGTACCTTAATTGCTTATTGTATATAAAAACACCCTTGCATATCTGGGACAAATCCCATTTGGAAATGCTGTATAATAATTTTTATATGCTAGTGGTTTCAGTTGACTAATATTTTGTCGAAAATTTTTACATCTATACTCACAAGGGACATTAAATCAACATCAGAAGTTCATTTCTTGTGACGTTTTTCTGGTTTTGGTTGTAGGGTACTGTTGGCCTCGTAAAATTAGTGTACACTTCAGACTGCATTAAAATGTCTCTCAGCATTCAAACGAAGAGGCACCTAAGTCTGCTGGAGAGGAAGTGAAGACTACAAAAGATTGATGTTTCATGGGCCTTAAAAAATGAATACAAGTTGCCAGTGGACAAATTGAAAGAGTATTCTGGATAAAGAAAAGAAATGAGTATGCAAAGAAAACTGGGGAGGCATGTTAGAATATATTCTTTTAATGAAATAATAAAGCCACTGAGTATGATAAGTAGTCTGTCAAGGCAGCAGGAAGTATGATGTACAGGCTCATGTACAACCAGTGGGTCAAAGAAGAAATCAAAAGAATAATTTAAAAATATCTTGAGAAAAATGAAAACACAACATACCATAATTATGGGATGCAGCAAAAGCAGTATGAAGAGGGAAGTTCATAATGAAAAATGCCTACATGAAAAAAAAGATCTCAAAAAGTCATTTAACATTATAACTCAAAGTCCTCAAAAAAGAACATGCAAGCACAAAGTTAGCAGAAGGATATAATGAAGATAACAACAGACATAAGTAAAATGGACAATAGAATAACAATAGAAAAAAATCATCACAATTAAAAGTTGGGTTTTTTTAAAGATCAAAAAAAATTGACAAGCCATAAGACTAACTATATAGTCTTATAGACTAACTATAGAAGAGGGCAGATTAAAAAAAAATCAGAAATGAAAGAGGATACATTACAACTAATGCCAGAGAAATAAAAGGGTCATAAAAGACTACCATGGACCATTATACATGAGAAATTGCATAACCTTTAAGAAATTGATATATTCCTAGAAATATAAAATCTACCAAGACTGTATCATGAAAAATAAGATATCTGAAGAAACCTATAACTGGTAAGGTGTTGCGTTACAGCCTCATCCTCCTCGAATGCTCCCCCACACTAGTCCCTGACCTAACACGTCACGAGGGAGTGTCTCAGAAAACTGAGTCTCTGTGGAATGATATCAGTAAAGCTTCCTCAAGGGAGTGTCCTGGAAAACTGGGATCCGGTGGAATGATGTCGGTTATCTCCCTTAGTTCATGGCCGCAGCTGCAGCTGCACCATCCTGGGGATTGTGTGTATAGGAGTTTGAAGGCACAGCGTGTGTTGGAGTACAATGGGGCTGGTTGATGGAAACTGGCCTTAAGGCACTTATCACACAGACTTTAGAAAGAATAAAAAGATTTTACTCCTTTGACGTTTCTTAATAAAAGCTTCACGTTGGCTCGATTAGGCGCTCAGTTCCAGAGAGAGAACTACAGCCCCCTGGCCTCATGTTTTAAATCTATCTTCGTCTCTTGTATTTCTTTCACCCTGCACTGTCCTCTCTCACTCATCACTGCCTGGGATGTGGCAGTAAGGTCATTGAATCAGTAATCAAAATCTTCCCAACAATTCAAAGCACAGGACCGGGTGACTTCAATGGAATTTTCTGCCAAACATCTAAAGAAGAATCAATGCAAATCTTTCATGATCTCTTCCCAAAAAGCTGACGAGAAAAGAACATTTCCAATCGCAATTTATGCAGCCAGCATTACCCTGACACCAGTCAGAAAAGACACACAAGAAAACTACAGATTTATATCTCAAATGAACAAAATGCAAAAATCGTCAATGAGGTATTATCAAAGTTCAATAGCATATTAAAAAGATCATACACCATAACCAAGTGGGATATATCTCTGGGATGCAAGAAATGAAAATCATTTAATGTCATACACCACAATAACAGGATGAAAAAAAAATTATGACCACCTCAACAGATGCAGAAAAATTGCATGAGAAAATTCAACACCCTTTCATGATAAAAATTCTCAACAAACTAAGAATAGAAAAAAATTATCTGAGCATAATGAAGGTCATATATAAGAAGCTTACAGCTAAAATCATACTCAATGGTGAAAAACTGTAAGCATTTCCTCTAAGATCAAGAAGAAGGCAAAGGTACTTACTCTCACCACTTTCATGCAATGTTTTTTTGATGTTCTAGCCAGATGATTAAGAAATAGAATAAAATAAAATGAGATGAGATGAGATGAGATGAGAAGATAAAATAAAATAAAATATAAATAAAATATATCCAGATCAAGAAAGAATGATGAAATAAAACGGTTTGTTTGCACATGACCAGGTCTTAAAGGTAGAGAGACTTAAAGGCTCCACCAAAAAATATTAAAACTAACAAATACAGTAAATTTGAAAGATACAAATCAATATATATATCAGTTGTGTTTGTATATACTACATGTAATGGATTACACCCAGACTATATACATTTTTTAAAAAACTCTTACAGTTCAATAAGACAACAAATACAAATTAAAAGTAACAAAGTTTCTGAAAAGAGAATTCTCCAAGGAAATATACAACTCATCTACAAGCATATGTAAAGGTACTTAACATCATTAGGCATCAGGGAAATGTAAGTAAAAACCCAGTGAAATATGACTTCATACCACTAGCTTGACTATAATCATAGAAACAAATAATAATGTGTTGGCATGATAGAAACCATCGAATATTGCCAGCCAGTTTGGAAAAGTCTACCAATAATTAAACAGAGTTACCGTATGATGAAGCAGTTCCACTTATAGGTATATACTCAAGAGAAAGTAAAATATGTTCACTTGTAATTTACACATCAGTGTAAAAAAAACAAAATCATTATTCATAATTGTTGGGAGCTGGCTGGGATCAGCCAGGGACACTGAGGCTTTAGGTTGGCAAGCTTGGGTCTCCAGGTAGATACAGGCCTGGGGTGAGCAGCCTTGGAGCAGTTTGGTGGGGACCTTTGGAACAGTGCTTCTGCCTTAAACTGATTCCAGATAACGCAAGTGCAAAGAGTAAATATCCCAGCTTGCTGATAGGAAAAGCTTATGGACAAAGGGACTCAGTTGCTCATGGACTATGGACTTGCAATTTTGATATGCATCACCACTCTGGGACTTTCGACCATGGACCTGCTTCACATGCTTGGGACTTTGTACTGAGGACTTGTAGACAGTTTCTATTTGCCTCAGTTTAATCTTGCCTAGCTATATCATCAGTTTATATTGTGTATAACATAGCTTGTTGCTGAGGAGAAATTGTTTCTCCTCAGCCCATGAGTTTTAGCTTTAGGGAATTGCTCCATAGAATGAGGAAATCACTTCCCCTTAAAAACCATGTATATCCAATAAACAGGAGTCTCAGTCTGTTATCAGCAGGCTGAGTCCCTCCTGTCCCCGCACTTTGTCTCTCTTCTCTTTTATTTCTTGTCTCCCACCCAGTCCTCTCAGGGACCCGTTCGGTGAGCTACTGGCTGACAAGCCAGGGGTGTTCGGTTGAGCGAGCTGGTCTCATTCACATAATAGCCAAAAATTGGGGAGAAACTGTCTATCAAATGATGCGTGAATAAACAAAATGTGGTTATACCCATACTATGGAATATTATCTGGCAATAAAAAGGGATAAGTCTTAAAATTGCTATAATATAGATGACCCTTTAAAATATGTTGCTAAGTAAAAGAAGCCAGTTACCAAAGACCACATATTCCATGATTCGATTTACAGGAAATACTCTATTTCTATAGAGAGACAAACTAGATTAATGGTTGGATAGGCCTTGGAGAGTCAGAAGCTAGAGTACCATGTAAATGGTAAAGGTTTCTATTGGGGTATGAACGTGCTCTTCATCTGATCATCACGGTGGTAGCACAATTCTGTGGATATACAATGAACCATGAAATTGTACATTTTAAATTAATCAATACAATTGTGTGTGGATTAGATGTCAAAAACTTTTATGAAAAAAAAATCTCTTGAATCATCATCCAGGAAATTCTGAGTCAGCTGTATAATAGTTTTATCTCTATTTCTTTAGGAAAAGAGACTACAGACACAGTCACCTCTTGCTTCTTACAGTTCTAATGCTCATATACAGAGAGTGCCAAAAATAGTATATATTTTAAAAAGGAAAAAACTGTATTAAAGTTTTAATACTCAATGTATACTGATAACAGAAGATGAATAAAACTCACATTTGATTCTGCAGTTACAAGGGTTGCTCAAAGTGGTTATCATCCATGTAATTTTAATACAGTCTTTTCCTTTCTTAAAACATGTATACATTTTTTTGCACACTCTGTATATTCCATAATTCATGGGTATTGCACATGAAAGGTTAACTCTTAGCTGGATGATAGCACTTGTAGAAATTAAACACATTTGTATAATGAAAGAGATCTCTATCTGTTTGACTACTTGCTATAAAAATGTTTTGTTTTCTAATATTTACTTTGGATTATAAGGAGTTATATTTTAACTTTCTGATTGATTTCTCCTTGGATATAAGCATGAGCAAGGACAGAAAGGATCAGTGATTTGAAAAGAACCATTACATCCACCAGGATGTCTATGAAGGGGATTTCAGTTCTGCTGCTGCTACAGCTGAGTTGTTACTTTAGCCCAGGGAATTGTGGAAAGGTGCTGGTGTGGCCCACAGAATACAGCCATTGGCTCAATATGAAGACAATCCTGGATGAACTTGTCCAGAGAGGCCATGAAGTGACTGTTCTGGCATCTTCAGCTTCCATTCTTATTGGTCCCAACCAATCCTCTGCTATTAAATTTGAGATTTACCCTACATCTTTAACAAAAGAAGACTTTTTGTTATTTTTCAGGCGAATTCTCGACAGATGGATATATGATCTGCACAAAGATACAGTTTGGGCATATTTTTCAGTAATGCAAGAAATCTTTGTGGAATACTCTGAGTTTACTGAAAAGCTCTGTAAAGAAGTCATTTTTAACAAGAAACTTATGACAAAACTACAACAATCAAGGTTTGATATCGTTTTTTCAGATCCTGTGATACCCTGTGGTGAGCTTCTGGCTGAGATATTTAAAATACCTTTAGTATACAGTCTCCGCTTCTTTCCAGGCTACACAGTCGAAAAGTATAGTGGAGGACTTCCAACCCCTCCATCCTACGTACCTATTGTTTTGTCAGGATTAAGTGATCAAATGACATTCATGGAGAGGGTGAAAAATATGATATATGTGCTTTACTTTGACTTCTGGTTCCAAACATTTAATGAGAAGACATGGGATCGATTTTACAGTGAAGCACTAGGTAAGTCATGTTTTCAGTTGGTAGCATGAAGTTCTTACTTTCCTAGTGCACTGAAGGTGTTTGTATAAATATTAAGTCAGAGTAATTTGTCTTTTATATGCAAAATGATAAAACAAAATTATAAAATGATCTTTCAGTCTCACCAATACTATGGAAATGCTCAAATTATAGTCATTGAGGAACTGTTGACTGTTGTATAGTTTAGTTTCACTTAAAAAATACTATTTTGCCATATTACCTGAAGGATTCCTTCATAATAGAGATATACTGGCTCTATCCCAACTCAGGAATTTATAATTTAAGGTTTCTAATGATTTCACATTCTTTCACCAAGTACTTACAAATCACATATTCAAATACTTAAATTTTGTAGAAGAATGGACATATAAATTACTAATTCGTACTTTTTGAAAACTGTCCCCTTGTTAAAGACAAAATGACCAAAATTAAGAGTCTGCAAATCTATTACTATACTTCATGAAAATGTTCCAGCTGTTATTTAAAAATATGTTTATCAATGGACAATTATTATTAAGCTGCTAATATGAACTAACTGCAGGTATAGCCCATGGCATTGAGCCACATTTGCAGAACCTCACAGTTTATAAGGAAAATCTGGGATCAAGGACATAGCTTGCTTAATTGTAGAAACTAGACTAAATACTCCAGGAAAAAGTGTTTCTTTCTATGGCTATGGTAGGGTTAGTTGATTGAGGGGTTGAAATCATCATTTACATTTGCATCTGGTCGTTTTATACCTTACTGAGTACACACACGCACGTTTAATTCTATAGTGTGTTCGATTTAATCATTTTTTTAAAGTTGTGAATGTACTGATGTGAGGTTAGAGATGAAAAACTCATACTTTGTCATAAGCCTATGAAAAAGGTCTATTAAGCTCACGAATATGTTGCCACAATGCTGCTAACCTTTTTTGATATCAGGGGGATTACTCATTATGAATTTGTACCAACTGGACAAACAGTTAGCCAACTTTACTACTTGGAGGTGCTGAAAAGGCTGCGTGAAAAAGGTAGATGGCCTGAAATATTCGCCAACAATTCATGGCTCTTGCAACACGACAATGCATGTGGTCACACAACACTGTCTGTGAGGGAATTGTTAGCCAGTAAACAAATAACTGTATTGTAACACCCTCCCTACTCACCTGATCTGGTACCCAGTGACATATTTCTTTACTCAAAGATAAAGAAAATATTTTTTAAAAGGCATTTTGATGTCATTCAGGACATCAAGGGTAATAGGACAAGAGCTCTAATGGTCATTCCATAAGAAGAGTTCCAAATTACTTGGATGGGTAGACTGAAAGCTGGCATTGATGCACAGGTTCCCTAGGGGAGTACTTCAAAGGTGACCATAGTGATATTCTGCAATGAGGTATGCAGAACTTCTAGATTGAGTTCGTAAACTTAACTGTCATACCACATAAGTTGCTCATATATATATATATATATATATATATATATATATATATATGAACAATACATATACATGTTTATATATATATATATGACATATTTATCCTATTATCAAAACACAGACAGTTTAAACAGCTTGACTACATAATCCTAAACTATTTTTACAAAATTATGTAGTATGCTCACATTACAATATTCTCATTTCCTCAACCTTTTGTTTGCTTTATTCCATTCAGGAAGACCCACCACATTATCTGAGTTAATGGGGAAAGCGGAAATGTGGCTCATTCGAACCTATTGGGATATTGAATTTCCTCGCCCGCACTTGCCACATTTTGAATTTGTTGGAGGACTCCACTGCAAACCTGCTAAACCCCTTCCTAAGGTAAACCTATTCATGTATGTTTTGCTTTGTTCACTTGGCATTTTCAGTAGGAATGTATCTGTGTTCTTTATTTAGAATGCCTGGTCACACTGAGATACAGAGATGAGAATCTGGGTAGTGACCTGCCTATTCGATACTCACATATTTCTGTCTATGACAAGAATCTGAATTTCATTATCATTACAGAATAAACATGTGCTCAGAAGGCTTTGGAAATAGTCTCAGTTGAATTAAGACCTTCATTATTCAACACATAAGAGAGTCATCAATTAATTCAAAGAAAAACGTAAAAGTCACTAGCATAATGCAGGAGTTAAGTACTGGATATGCAGAGAAGCAGTGTGCACACAGTTTTTGCCACACACACCCACAGACACACACCAGTATTCTATTTGGAAAGATATGTGTAGAATATAAGCAAGTGTAAAAAGTATTACAGTAAGGAAAAAACAATGTTAGTATAATGCCAGAGATCATCCCATGGGAATGGATCATAATACCTCAGGAGGGACGATGCAATCGGGCATAAGTGAGCATAAACATCCCTTGTTTTTGTCCCCCTGCAAGTAAAAAATTTGGCATCTATCCATGAATTAAACTGCCTCTGTGGGAGTTTTAGAATCCAGCATATGCCAAGGGACCTGGGAAAAGTCTTGCCAACCTGTACGTCAGGTAACAGGGAGACAGACCCCAGTACTAGGTGTGATACCTACAGGCAATTGTGAATTGGTTCCAGCCTCTCATGCCTGTAGGCCAAGAACAGCTACAGAACCCTAAGTTGGGCAGCCGCCTATGGATTAGAGAGCCTTAGTGGAAGTCCAGAATTCCAGAGAAGTTCCAGCACTCTATCGGACCACAAAATACTATATGAGTTTGAATGCGTTCTTGTGGGTGAGAAGAAAGTTTGACATTTCCAGCATCACAAGAACCTCCCTAAAGGCAGCATAACTTAGGGATAAAAGAAGGACTATAATTTCTCCCACAAGAGAAAGGAAGAGCAGTTGAGTGGATGCCCACCTTCTCCAGCTGTGCAGGATGCTTCCAAAGGCCTTATTTCTCACAGCATCCAGAGTATTAAATTAGGAGTTCAAACTCTGGTGAGAAGGAGCAGATGAGGCGAGTGACATACAAGATTTCCAGAGGGCATTGAAGAGACATCATTCCTCCTGACTGCATTCTGGACTCCAACAGGAAGGCTGACCACAAACCACAAAGAAAACCTCTCCTACAGATCCCTCCACTGGCCTGTGGGCACTTACAGCATACTGCGTTCCAAACACACACCTCCTCCCCTCTGTGACCAGCTCCCTGTACATGCGGCCAAGGTCAGCCACAAGGAGATAGATTTGATAGGAGTCTAGGGAGCATGACCAGAAAGCAGGCAAGGGTTTTCTGGCGAGAGAAAAACTACAAACTTGAGCTGTAGTGCCACCTTCAGGAAAACAAAAGGGAGGCTGTCAGCATCTGACCTGCTGCTGTATAAGACAGGAGTAGGCATACAGGCTTAAGAATTCTATCAAACAAAAGAGTAAGTAGCAATCAGAAGGTATGTTCACACAAGGTCTGAGAAAGCCTTATGTACAGCAGGACTGACAAAAGGCATTTCGACCCTCAAAGTAGATACCATAGTAGAGACACAAGTAGGTGACTGTTAATTCAAATGCAAAAAAACAGCAACACAAAGCTCCAAAGAACATGAAAATGCAAGGGAACATAAGATCACCAAATTTGCTATAATCTTACAGTAACCAAATATAGACATGGAGATATGTGATTTGCCTGATAAAAAATTCAAATGGCTTTTTTAAGTTAACTCAGTGATCTACAAGAAAATACAGAACCCTTATGCAATGTTGGTAGAATGTAAATTTGGTGCAGCCACTATGGAAATTAGTAGCAAGGTTGTTCAAGAAATTAAAAATACAGCTACCGTATGATCCAGCAATCCCACTTCGGGGTATATATCCAAGAAAAACAGGATATCAAAAATACATCCACAATATTATGTTTTTTGCAGTATTCATAATAGCCAATAAAGAGAAACAACTTACTGTCTGTCAACAGATGAGTGGGTAAAGAAGTTGTGAAGCACACACACACACACACACACACACACACACACACACACACACAGAAATATTAGTCAGCCATGAGAAAGAGGGACATTCTGCCATTGGGAAAATTTAGAAGGAACTTGAGGGCATTGTGCTCAGTCACATAAGTCACACTGAAAAATATACATAATGTATGATAACACTTATATGTGAAATCTGAAAAAGGCAAACTCATAGAAACACAGGGTAGAATGGTGGTTACCATGTGCTGGTGAAAAGTGGGATTGGGGAAATTGAGAACATGTTGGTCAAAGGGTACAAACATACAACTCAAAGATGATTAAATTCTAAAAATATAATGCATACCATCATGATTACAGTCAATAATACTCTATTATATACATGAAAGTTTCTAGAGACCAGATCTTAAATGTTCTCACAACAAATACAAACAAAAATTATGATTATATGATATGATAGCAGTTTGCTAATGCTAAATTGGTAACCTTACTGCAATATGAATCAATTCAACACAAACAACTTAAACTCAAAGAATGTTATATGTCAATTATATCTCAATTTTAAGGACAAACATGAAGCAATGCTTAGGATGAGAAAACAAACTTTTTTTAGGAGGGTTATGAGATTATTTCCCAAAAAGAAAAAAAAAAGTTAAACAATAGAAAACACAAAGACTAACTGAAAAAAAATAAGCAAAAAACACTAGGATGAAGTTTGGACCAGATAGCCATGAAATTTTTGGCTCCTTACATATTTCTTTGGGAACAGGGCAGGGTTTAGAAAGTACATTGAGCAATCAGGAACTTTTCAAGTACAGAAAGTAATAAAATTTGAAAACTGACAAGCATCAGGAACCAAAAGTCAGAATAATTCTGAAACAATTCCAGGTGAACATGACATCACCAGGACCTTTATATAATTTGAAGTAAGCTACTCAAGAGGGTAACCACATCTCTGCTAAACAAAGCCAAGCTATAACACTCACACTGTGACTGAGGTCCTCCCTGGGGGTCTCAGTGAGGTGACGATGAGGGTCCCTCACAGCCAGTTGCACACAGCACATTCTACTAGGACATCCGTTTTGCAATATGATTTCAGGGCAAAAGCTGTCATATGTAAACAAACCAGAAAGATACCTACTCAAATAAGTAACTATATAAGCACATTTCTGGATTATAAATAGGAATCTTGGGGCTATTTCTTGGAGGAGCCAGACAGTAATACCAGACTCATGAATTACAGTGATTCTCTAGCCTATAAAAGCCGATTTAAGGAGAGGGTCCCAAGATATCAATCAGCATAGGAAGACCCTGAACTCACATCCTCCCATGAACACACCAAATATACATCCACATATAGAGAAATTCCTCCTGAAGTATGACTGAGGGTTGATTGAACAGCTTCTGCACAGCAAATAAGAGAGAGACTGCATAGAGATGGTTGGGGAATCACAAGAACTTTCCACTCTATGGGAACTCTGTGGGAACTCTGTGGGATTGAAAATGCCAGTTAGCATCAATGCTTATTTTCCCTCTCCACATAAACAGCATGGGCAGGAATGCAGTTCAAATGCTCTAGTCGATCTGCAAGGCCACCACAGTGTGCCTTAGGCCACTCACCCCATACCCACTCTAGGCTCAGACAGCCAGGCTGCCATGGGACCACTATAGTCACATATTCCTGGCTGCTCCAAAGTAGCCCAGCCAGCCTAACAAGGTGCCCCCAGAGCCATGCTCCCTGGTAAACCTGGCCAATGTTCTGTCCCAACTCTGACTAGCCTGGTGGCTACAGGACTCCTGGTGCCTCAGGTAAACACTTTTGCTCCAGCCAGCCTGCCAATGCCACCCAGCATGTGCAGCATACACACAGATCGTTCCTACACAAGGCCTCTCCATCAAGTTCGAGAGAGGTAGCTGTTCCATCTAATTTATGGAAACAAATACAGAAAGTAAGACAAATTAAGAGGAAAATGAAATATGTTCCAAATTAAAGTACAAATAAAAAACCCAGAATAGAAAAAAATCCTAAAAACAAAGATAATTTACCTGAGGGAATATTCCATGTAATAGTCATAAGGATGCTCACTAAATATAATACAGGGATACAAGAATGCAGTAAGATCTCTAAAGTGTTAGAGAAAACAACAACATCAAAAAAAACACAAAAAAACAATGAGAGCTGAAAAATACAATTAGTGAAGTGAAAAAAGTGTTAATCAATAGCTGGTTAAATAATAGCGAAGAATGAACTAGCGACTGGGAAGACAGAATAATGGAGATCACAAATCAGAGGAGCAAAAATAAAAAAAGAGCTTTAAAAAACAAGAATAGTTTAAGGGTCCTTGAGAACAACATAAGCCTATTAACATTTGCATTAAAGGGGTCTCAGAACGAAAAGAGAAAGAGAATGAGAGAGAGAGAGAGAGAGAGAGAGAGAGAGAGAGAGAGAGAGAGAGAGAGAGAAGAGAGAGAGATCCTATTTAAAGAAATAATGGCTGACATTTTTGCTAACCTAGGAAAGGACATCTAGATACAGGAAGATCAGAGAACCCCAAAGTAGATGAACCGAAAGGGAGCCACACAAAGACATACTATAATTAAAATGGCAAAAGATAAAGAATCTTTCTTTTTAATTTTTATTAAATTTATTGGAGTGACTTGGTTAGTAAAATCATATAGGTTTCAAGTATACATTTCTGTAATATATCATCTACATATGGCAGTGTGTATGCACCACCCAGTCAGTTCTCCCTCAATCACCACATAACTGACACCCTCTTCCCTCTTCTACCACAACCCTACCCCCCATTAACCTCTGGTAACCACTGAACTGTTCTCTGTGTCTATGAGTTTTTGTTTCTTGGTTTGTTTGTCTTGTTCTTTTGTTGCTTTCAGTTTTATATCCCACATCTCAGTGAAATCACAT